TCTCTCTCTCTCTCTCTCTCTCTCTCTCTCTCTCTCTCTCTCTCTCTCTCTCTCTCTTTTTCTCTCTTTCTTCTTCCTCCACTTCATTCTGTTCGGCTATCTACCCCATTTCTGTCCCCATTCTCGTTCCCACGTCTACGCAAATGCAAATGCAAAAAAATGGCAGTACAACGGCTTTGAGCAACTCTGCATCAACTTCACCAACGAGAAATTGCAGCAGTTCTTCAACCACCATATGTTCGTTCTCGAGCAAGAGGAGTACAAGAAGGAGGGCATCGATTGGGTGTTCATTGATTTCGGCATGGACTTGCTAGCTTGTATCGAGCTGATCGAGAAGGTATTGTCAGTTATTCCGAATCCAAGGTTTGAAACACATCGATCCGGCACCCTGGGAGTTGATCGACCCCACGGACGACGAACGAGCGAGACATCGAGCGAGCTTGAGCGAACCGATTTCCGGAAACTTCGCAAGAATTATAAGCTATCAGTGTTGCTTTCCCCGGTTAATGTTAACCGGGTTTATGTCTCTATTGTAATCTCTCCGGCTCTTCAAGGATGACGAAGACGCCGATCGCAAGTCTTCCGAAGGTACTTAATACGGGTACCTGAGCCACTCTTTCCCTTTCTTTGCCCCCTGATGATGTTCCGTCACATCCCCAACGGCACTAATATCGTGCCCGTGAAACATTTCCACGAAATCGTTCAACGGATTGAGCGACAATCAAGCATCATTGTCTTCGACGATCCACCGCGCGGGTCCGGTTCGTAATCCTGAAGAGACCGGGACGAACCGTGAAGTGAAAAAGAGAAAGAAACATTCGGCGTATCAACGAAGCTTATTGATATAAACTTATTGTGCCGAATCAATTACGATTGACATATTGTAATCGTAATAATATTATCAGACTTCAGTAAAGCTTCCGCGACGAGCACTGAATGTCAACCTGTTAAAAATTTGAGAGCTCGATGATTAAGAAATACACCGTTCAGCGTGACATTAATCAACGAGTTTTAGAATAAAAATTAAATACGAGGTAATTATATATTAAAATTAAGAAATTAGCTCGTTTGGAAAATGATGGTTAACTCTCAATGATAAATAATGGATTCAGCGATTGTGTTCTCCCCTCCCCCCCCCCCGGCCCCATACAAAGGCACATTGAATGTCGATCCTAAAATTCATCTTTAAAAGTTTACCCACTTAATTAAATTCTATTTAGGTAAACTTAGCTAACACAGACTGTACAGTGTTCATCACGATACCATTTTTAATTTACCACACAACGACACAAGCGAGTGTCTTTTCGATTCGTGCGACGAACTTGAAAAGCATAACTAGTTATTTTTATTCAAACTCAATAATGAGATTTATCAACATAATTATATAAATTTAATTATTTATATACAATTGAGGTTAATTGTTATTCACGCGTGTGTAATATTTAATTACAATCTTAAATAATTCTATTCAAAGATTTTGATGTTTAAACATGTCACCACTTAATGTTTCTAATTAGGAATCTTGAAAATGATTTAAATATTTTTTGAAATTTTTCGAGTTTATCGCACATTCGAAAATAAATTCTCAAGTGCACATCGAGTGCACCCCTGACTACCCCAGTTACCCCTCCCTCTGTTTGCCACGGAATCGAACGATGAAAGTTACGGGTCGAAGTCATCGGTCGAACATTCTCCACTCGCGTCATCAGGCAGCACTAATGACGGGCTGTTTCCACCTGTTTCTTTTTTCTCTGTTCTTCGCTTAAACCCCCCGTACGCATGGGTCCCCCGTCCACTCCGCTGCGCTACTCGGTCGAGCAGTTCAACAGCTTCGAGCAGCTGTGCATCAACTTCACCAACGAGAAGTTGCAGCAGTTCTTCAACCACCACATGTTCATCCTCGAGCAGGAGGAATACAAGCGCGAGGGCATTGAGTGGACATTTATTGACTTCGGCATGGACCTCCAGCAGACTATCGATTTGCTCGAAAAGGTATCACCCGACCAAGGCAGATCGACAGATCGCGGGCCCGATTGCCAAGAAGACGCAAGATTTCTCCGAATAGCATACACGCTCGAAACATACTACGCTGAATGTGTTTCCTGTCTTGACTGTCTGCTCGATCGAATACTAACACCGTATCTTATCGTCACACTTTTACTCGAGCTCTTACTATTTTTTTTTACCTCTCGTTGCATCAGTCGAAAGGTGAAACAATTTGTCTACGCGATGGAATCCATACAATATTTAATTACATTTATTTATCTAGATTACGTAATAAAAATTTCCATTTTCTCTGATCGATCGATCAATTCAAATGATTTTGAATGCCGCCTTCGATTGCGCCGCGAGAGGTTTCAACTGATCGAAAGATCGAAGGACCCTCCGACTGGACACGGATGCTGTCCTGCCGATCACGCACCTCCTCGCTCTGTTTTCTTCACTGTTTTTCTCTCTTTCTGTTTCTTTTTCTCTTGCTCTCTCCCTCTCTTTTTCTCTCTTCGCCTGTGTGCCTGTGTGCATCGTGGTGCATGAACGAATGCAGTACAACGGCTTCGAGCAGCTCTGCATCAACTTCACCAACGAGAAACTGCAGCAGTACTTCAACCACCACATGTTCGTGCTCGAGCAGGAAGAGTACGAGCGCGAAGGTATCGTGTGGACCTTCATCGATTTCGGCATGGACTTGGAGCCGACGATCAATCTGATCGAGAAGGTAAAGGGACGGGTCCGCGCAGGACACGGACTCGATGTTCTGGATCACCCAGCTGTGATCCAGTAACGCAACGATTTGCAGCTTGAGTTTAGCTTGCCCGTTGAGTTCGTAACTGTATTGCCGATGTTGTGTGCTTCTCGCCAATATTGTGCTTCCTTGCCTGTGTGTATACTTAATTACGTACGTATCATCGTTTTTACACGCCGTGGGTCTAACGCGTGAAAATTTTGGTCGCGTACTTTTCATTAACTTAACTGTTTTTTATGTTAAGGAATAATCACTTTAAGATTTTTTTTTTAATTTGACGCTGAAATAAGAAAACGAGCCTTTTAAGCAAATTATGCAAATTCTTGTATTTCTCACGTTTAAATAAATTTAGTTAAAGTTTTTGTATCTTTTGGTTTAGATAAATTTTACTCTTTTTTTAAACAAAGAGTGTTTAAAATTATAATATTTTTGTATAAAATCTGGATTTTTTAATTTTAAATTGAATTTTGACACACGATTGAAAACTTACGCGGTGGACCCAGAATATCATGTACATTGCTCTAACTTGTAATGAGTGAAAGATCGATGTGTCGGAAAAGATAATTGCGCTTTCAAGATGTAGAATTTTACAGACAAAATTATGTATCTGTGATGCGCAATAATCATTACCGAGGCATTGCACCGGTAAATCCACATTGTAGAATTACAGATAACGCAGTACTAAGAGTAGCGTTGAGATTTTTCTTTTGTACGTAGTCTGCAAGATTAATTATTAATCGGCAATTAATTCATATGAATCTTGTATCACGCTCGAAAGTATAATTGATTAACCGTCGCAGAAGTAAAGGTACATTAATGGCACAATATCGAGCAGTATCAAGCAGTATCAAGCATCAGTATCAGGCAAATAACAAAGTATATCAACGAGGTATTTAGCACCTGTTTTCAGTAAAAGTTGGGGCACTAACGAGATTTGCTACGCGCGAAATATTTTTGCAGACACTTTGTTCCGCATATCGAGAGAACGCCTCCATTTCTTTTTTTTACTGGTAGAACCTTGGCGCTGAGAATCAGTCTCGCGATTTAACAAGAAAAATGTTCACGTATAATTAACGGTGAGAAAGAAAATGACAATTATCTGTATTTGCGTAACGCTACTCTTGGAAAATGCGAAACTTGTCGAGACGTAACAGATCCTGATGCGTTTCTTTGTTTCTTTTTTTCCGCGACACAGCCTATGGGTATCCTCTCCATTCTTGAGGAAGAGTCTATGTTCCCCAAGGCCACCGACAAGACCTTCGAGGAGAAGCTGAACAACAACCATCTCGGCAAGAGTCCCAACTTCCTGAAGCCCAAGCCGCCCAAACCGGGCCAGCAAGCGGCCCACTTCGCTATCGGCCATTATGCTGGCAACGTACGAATCTCTTATCTTTATACAAAAAAAATGGCCTAACTTTTACAAAAAAATTAACACATCACCTTATTTTTAAGAAAACGTTAGAATTAATTTTTTGCTAAAAGAAGATAGTATTGATTTTATTTTTAGGCATACCTAATATATTAAGACTCCATTTACTTTACTTTGCACAAATAACATTAGCAGTTACATCATTTTAAAGGAGAAGAATATCTTTGCAAGAAATTAATTCTGTAAAATTTAAGAAGCTTAGTTTGACCTTCCAATAATTTTATTTATCAATTTTACTTATCGCACACATTGTTAGAAGTTCGAAAACACGTAGATTCTCTATTATTCTTAAGAGGAGACAGAACTGAAAGTTTCTCCCGGTTTCAGGTACCGTACAACATCACCGGCTGGCTGGAGAAGAACAAGGACCCGCTGAACGACACGGTAGTCGATCAATTCAAGAAGTCCACTAACAAGCTGCTGGTGGAGATCTTCGCTGATCATCCTGGTCAGTCCGGTGACGCTGGTGGCGGCGGCGGCGGCGGCAAGGGCGGACGTGGCAAGAAGGGCGGTGGTTTCTCCACTGTGTCGTCCTCCTACAAGGAGCAGTTGAACAACCTGATGACTACCCTGCGTGCCACCCAACCCCACTTTGTCCGTTGTATCATCCCCAACGAATTGAAGCAGCCGGGTGTGATCGACTCCCATCTGGTCATGCATCAGCTCACCTGTAACGGTGTGCTTGAAGGCATCCGTATCTGTCGTAAAGGTTTCCCCAACAGAATGGTGTATCCTGATTTTAAGCTACGGTGAGAATCCTCTCTATCTTTCTTTTGCTATTAATTATATGTTTTTGGAAAATTGGAAAGTCGACGGGCTCGAGGAATTAATTTTTTTTTTAATGAGATTAATTTTTTTTAAGATGATTTTGTTTTTTAGAAATTAAAAGTACAATCTGTAAGTTTTATTTGATATTTTATAAAAATTGTCTATTATCTCGATCTTCAAGCATTCGCAATAATTTATAGTTTACAGAAATCTGTGATGTCTGTCGAGTTCTTCTGAGTTTACTAGGCTCTAATTATTAAGAAAATTATTTTGTTACTTTTTTTTCATTATATTAGATTAATTTTTATATTATTACATCAACCTTACTATTAAATCTCATAATCGACGTAGCAAGTTTTTCTAGTCATTATATTATTTAATATTTTATTAGCGATAACTTCTAATGCAATTATTTAATTTAATCAGCTTCTTTATTTCATAATGAACAGGATCAGTTGGAAATGACAGATTTCAGAATGCTACGGTATTAGAACAGTTATTTATTTGGAAAAATTTTTTTAAAATATTTAAAAAGATTGTCTTTTTATTTCTTTTCTATTTTTCTGCATATATTTTTATAATTTCAATTTTTTGGGAAAAACGACATAACTTTTCCGACCCATTTCTTGCGCGAACGGAAGCGTCGAGAAGGATTATTCTCCTCAGATTCGACGCATATAGTAACCGGATTTTTATGTTGTGTATCGTGTAGTTACATGATCCTAGCGCCGGCCATAATGGCGGCCCAAAGCGATCCCAAGGTCGCCGCGGCTAAGTGCTTCGAGGAGATCGGTCTCGATCCGGACAGCTATAGGATCGGTCACACCAAGGCTAGTTGACGTACTCTCGATAGGAATGGATTTGACAATTCCACCGTCCCATTGTTTCTAAACTAGTGGACTAGCCACTTTTCACACCCCACATTCGAGGAATTAGAGACAGATTTCTCCACGTGGATGATCCGGAGGTTCTCGTTCAGGAATCGCGACAAGAATATTTTTTCGACAAAATGCCAAATATCAATATTAAATTATATATTAATTTGTTGCTTCGTTGGATTTGAGATAGAATCTATGTATTTAAAGTTATTTTTATAAATCAGGGAGATTTAAGGATGATCCACAATGGAATATTGGCTCGTGAATTCAGCACGTTGCCCTCCCCCCTCATAGAATGCAATATCAAATGTAAATATATTCGAATGTCATTCAGTTTTGCCCACCCCATGAGTCGTTTCGTAAAAACAGATATCCAACCAGATGTCCGAAATCTGTTGCCCGATTTTTTTTAAATACCCGATTAGATTAGAGGATCAGTTCCCCGAATAGTATTACACGCACGTGAAGTGGGCCCTGATTTTTCCTTTTAAAAATTGTATAAGATTTAGCGATCAAGGAGGAGCGAGAGCAGATCGAGAGACAGGAGGAAGTATAAATCTACGGATATTCGTGTCTGAAACACCCGTACTAATTAGTTTGCACGTTTGCCCCCGCCCCGTGTACCCCGATACCCCCCTCTAGGTACAAGATCCTGGCGCCCGCAGCGGTCGACAAGGCGAAGGAGCCCAAGGACGCGGCCGCGGCTGTTCTGGAATCCACCGGTCTCGACGCTGATATGTACCGTCTTGGACACACCAAGGCACGTTTTACCCCCCTTTCCCCCTGGCCGCAACTTTCGGTCTGGCTCCGGCCGACCGATGATCTTGCAACGCGGCTTTAAGCGCGATCGACGATGCTCGACGAGCGAGATCCTCGCCTTAGTTTCAGATTGTTTAAAATCTTTTCGTGGTAAAGTTAATACCTTAACGAGGCTTCCGTTGCTCGAACATCGTCGACGTAAGCGACTGTCTTTCTACTGTCGTTGATGTATGTACTTGAACCCTTGTTACGTCGATGCCCCTTAGCGACTGGGCGGTAGACATAAGTAACGCGTCTTGAAGCGCGAGTATTCGAGAGAATCAGTCTCAATCGACATTTACTTTTACAGCACTATCGCTTTTTTAATTTTTGGTGAAAATTATTTGTCTTGTGATGCTGTAGTTGTGATTCCTTTTCTGTCAAGCTATCGGTTTCTTCTGGTTTTACAAATTTTTGGTAGCAAAAATGATTCTTCGAAGATCTCGCGTTTTAACTGACGCCTTACCTTGTACAAGATCGACATGAAGTGCATCTCCCGAATCAAAGTATCCTCGAAGGATACCACTCGTTACCCTTTGGACCTCCCTCCCCTCACTCCCTCCCCCCGATGTATTCTCGACAGCAGCGAGAAGCAATAATACGACAAACCTCTAACCTGGCGTGATGATTTTTTTCTGTCTGTTTTGTGAACACACACACACATCATCAAATACCAATATGTATCCACCATCAACACACACCGAACCGCAAAACCCTTGACGGCACGGTCGGCCACGAACGCAGATACAAAATTCTGTGCGCCAATGCCGTGCGAGAGCCTTGCGAGCCGCAAAAGGCCACCCAGATCATCCTGGACGCGATCAATTTGGAGAACGATCAGTACCGCATGGGTCACACCAAGGTATTGGACACCTGCTGTGGTCCACGTCGTGGCAGTAGTATCACGATGTGCAGCAAAAACGCTATCGCAGATTTGTCACAGACAGCGCGAAAGGTCTCGAAGATGTTCGCAGGATACGTCAAACCGGCGGATATTCTGTGAACGTTTCCTGTGGAGCTTTCGCGTTGTTCTTACAGCGTCGACGATTTACTCGCCAACATCAATACAAAGGAATAAAATTAAATACTTTAATTTTCTTGAAGAATCTTGGACAAATTTCAAAAATGTTTAGATGACAAAAATCACAAATTCGAAGATTGAAGTAGGAATCGATTTTCAGATTTGAATCTTCCGGGTTTCTGGAATTGTATATTTATATATTTACGATCTTTGAGCAGTCATACGAAAATGTTGGCCATTAAATGTCAAAGACGTCAATTTAACACCGCGCGGCTTCGGCGATTAACTGTTTACAGCCTCGTGCGAGCAAATTAATGACGAGCTATCATCAAACGCGCTAACAAAGGATACCTTTGCCAAATCAATTTTCAGCATGGTGTAATCCCTCGAGAAGTGTGAGGCAATCTCTGTCTACCTCCTATCGTCGAATAACGACCCTCTTTCCGAGCTAAAAGCGGCATGGAAGACCAGTTTATCGACGTTGAGTGATACGATGTACCGCGATTATCTTTTTAGTGATACCGTAAATTAAATGAAAATTAAATTAAACCATCCATAAACCTAAATTATTTATACATGTACGACAATTATATACATATAATTTTTAATTGTTAGTTTTTTTAACTTTGATTATTTGTATTATCTCTCGTCGGAGATATTTAAATTAATTATTATACTTGTCTTTGAGTACTGCGAATTATAAATCGATCAGCGTCAATTTCATTATCACGTTCGATAATCGCGATAGATCTATGAAGATCTGTTACGGCAAGCGATTTCTCTCTCTCTCTCTCAATGTTTAATTCCTTCTTCGCTTCTGAAAAAATAGGTATTCTTCCGTGCCGGAGTTCTGGGTCAGATGGAGGAGCTTCGCGACGAGCGTCTCGGTAAGATCGTATCCTGGATGCAAGCTTACATCAGGGGTTACCTGTCCCGTAAGGACTACAAGAAACTTCAGGAACAACGCTTGGCCCTCGTGGTCGTCCAGAGGAACTTGAGAAAGTACCTCCAACTCCGCACTTGGCCGTGGTGGAAGTTGTGGCAGAAGATCAAGCCTCTGCTCAACGTCACTCGCATCGAGGATGAGATGGCCGTAAGTGTCTCTTCGAGATCTTCAACACAAGTCATTTCGTTGATATAATTGTTAAAATAATTAAATTAATAGTTCGATCTTTTCTCCACATTTTTTCAATTACTATTGTTTTTTTTATTTGATATTTTTACTAAATTATTTATCTGTTTAAGTGCAAAAATTAATATTAGAAAAATTAGAATTCTTTCTCTATACATATATAAAAAAAACACGCACAAAAATTCTTGTGATAAAGTTCTTTTTCTTTCTGTTTTTGAATCTTTTACAATTTTACATAACAGAGTAATTGTGATATATTTTTGAAAAATTTGGTATACTTAGCAGATATATTGTCAGCAAATTAATTTATCTATTTTAAGCTTTAGGGGGATAAAATGTACGATTCTCGATCAGCACCTTGCGAATTGATCATAGCGAAAACAATAAAAATTTTAGTACTGTTTATCTCAATTAAGCAGAGCAGAAATGTTATTTTTATTTTAAATTTCTGGATTATTCCTTAATTTTACTTGCTACAATTCTCAATTATATCTTTATCTTGACTCTCGAATTAATTTAAACTTTATTTAATTTTTTTCTTTTCAAGTATGATTTATAAAGTCCACTTGAGATCCACTTTGCATTTCAAGTGAACTTTACAAATTATATGCCTAATTCTGCAATTTTATTCTTTGACTATCTCTGACGATCAAATTATACTTCTCAAAGAAATCCCGAACTCGTGCATGTTGCAAAGTCGTAATGTTCGTTCCGCGAAAATCGAAAGCTCGCGAAAGACCGCGGGAACTTGGCAAAATAAAGCTCCGACTTGACAGTGATTTACGACCTGGGCTTCGTGCTTAACAGTGCCGTCCGCACAAAATCGTCCGTGGAATTTGTTTCTTCTTTCGCGCGGACCGTAACGGCTCCAGTTTCCAGACGCGCACGTTTATTTATCCGCCGCCTGGTCTTTCCGTTTTCACGGTTTATTCGCGCACAAACTCACGACCAGCTTCAAATAGGAATTTTTACGAAATTGAAACTTTTTCCACATATTTTTTTTACTCTCGTAATACTTTCATAACTCGAATACGCCGTAACACTTTTGTTTTTAAATCCACATTTCTTCATTGAATTTACAACCGTCGAAATCTCCACACACCTTTGTCTTATTCATACATTTATCAAATTCGCAAAACTTAAAAAAAGAAATTCTGTTGAATTAATGAGAATGCGAATTAATTATGGCGTTAAATATTTAGATTTATGTTTCTTTAACAGATTTAAATCTACAAAATCCACGGTTTATTTTTCGTAATTTATTTATAAAATTTAATTTTGCAAATTGATCACTTTTTTAATACGTATGTTTATACAGAAAGCAAGTTTTATAAAATTTATATTAGCATGGTAGCAAAGGGTTTCACTCGATCGGGAAGAATTTGGAAAGAAGTCTCGCTCGACCCTTTTGGAACGCCGACGCTTCTAATTCTGTCAATCTCCCGACCCCTCCTCGCTCTCGAACTATCTATATTTTCGACTCTATAACCGAATTAACGAGGATTAGGGGAATCCGCGCACGCTCCCGTTCTCAAGTCCAGTTCACTGATACCGCTCTGGTGTTCCAAATTAGAAGCATAATAAAGGCAGCCGGCGGTGAATCAACGTTCGATCATGTTACCGAAGCCGCCTACTTATTAATAGACTCGGCTCTTCTGAAAAGGATCATACAATTATTCGTCCTTCAGAGAGACTCAGGAGACACGGTTGCTCACGTATTCTTCGAATCGCGCTCCGTCTTCTCCGGAATGCTGGCGCTTCTAATTTCGTCTACTCGTTTTTACGTCATAATACCGTCACTTAACTGCTGAATCATTAATACGAGATGCAGCAACGAAATATAATATTTGGTCCGAAGGTTTTCTTGAAGAAATTTAATATCAATCTCAAGTTTCTTTACTCTCGTTGAACTCTTACTAAAACAGTAAAAAGAGTTAGCTTTGTATTGTCGACTATTATTATGAATTGTTTTATAATAGCATTACTAAATAATTTTATTCTTTAATTTTATTTTTCTATTCTATTAGTTTTATTTTTTATAGTTGAACTTAAGTTGCATCTCTATTTTTATAGAGATATTATTTATATATTATATATATATATAAATTCATATGTTATTTGTGACAAAAATAACAAAATTTTCGTTACAGTTACACTTTTCCAAAAATAGAACTTTCAGTTCTAGATATAATATGTATTTGTGATAAAATCTAATTAAAGAAATAGAGATGACTAAGAAAAAGAAGAGAGTACGTTATCACAGACTTAAAAAAAATTTCTAGTTTACATCACCAAAGTCTCTCCGTTCGCTTCGATATATCTCCACAGATATTCGCTCACTCGAGCGAATCTCTTTGCGATCCACTTATCCACTTTGCACCTTCTGGAGCCTCTAAAAAGGGGGTGGCGATTGCTGGAGAGAGACAGAGAGAGAGAGAGAGAGAGAGGGCGGCCCTTCCGGATCGCTTCTAATTTCGGCCAAGACCGGCCCCCCTCCGCGGACATAAACCGCTCTCCGGCTTCTCTGCTCTCACCCCCCTTGAAATGTAGTATCGGATCGGTTATAAATATTTTTACACGTACAGTGGCGAGGCGCCACTGGAGTGGGGACGCCCACGATCAAGATCGCCGCGGCTCGCTCCTTACTGGCTGCCGGAAACGGGCACGGGTAGAGGGACCACGGGCACGGGTAGAAAAGTTGGGCTTCAACCGAATCCGGGACCAGTTGGACCCGCGACCTCGCGCCGACCCCTTCGAAATTACGCGAACCCGCCCGACGAACAAAAGAGGGAGAAGCCTCGCCCTCGTACCCCGTACCACGCACCATATTCACGCGGGTGTTCGAAGCCTCTCTTCGATATCTCGAGACGTAAGTAGGGACCGGTCGTACCCCCGAGCCCCACGCGCTGTTTTCTTCGTCATCGAACTGTCGACCCCCTTAAAGTTCGAGGCTTTTCGTGAACCCTTCGTACCCGCCTTCGACCGATTCTCCTTCTCTCTCTCTTTCTTTCCCTTGAAGAATCCTTAACCCCGCGGGTACCTACGAGAAAAAGAATCGAAATCGAGTGCATTCCTCGCGCGTGTATCCCTCGGTATTTCTCCGAGGGTGATCAATAATGGGCGACTCGGTGCTGATCGAGAATTCGACCCCGCTGGTGAACGGCGGCAGGCTCGAAGGTGAAATGGCCTCGTTACAGGCGCTGGAAGAGAAAGCCAGGAAGGCGCAGGAAGCCTTCGAGAAGGAGGAGAAGCTGCGCAAAGAGTTGGAGGACCTGAACGCCAAGCTCCTCAGCGAGAAGACCAATCTACTGCGCCAGTTGGAGGGTGAGAAGAGCGGACTATCCGAGTACCAGGAGAAAGCTCTGAAACTAGCCGCGCAAAAGGCCGACCTCGAATCACAGCTCCAGGTGAGACTTTTATTCAAGTCAATATTTTTTAATAGCAAATTTTTTAACGACAATTATTATTAATTGATCAAACCTTGAGGATTTTTGCTATTGAAATTTATTAGCATCAAGTTGTCACGAGAAACTTTCTCTGTTAAAGCTTATTAGGTTAAATTATTGCAAACTTAAAAATTTTTTCCTCTAAAATTGATTAGTGTTTATTATCTTCAATTTTTATATTAAAAGTTTGCTTTGTATAAAATGTTGACTTATATCGAAAAGAGATTAAAAAGCTTTCAGAATGATAATAGCGGTTTAAATACGCGATATTTTCAGCTCTTTTAATCTTGCCTATTGTAATCTTCGATAGCCAATTAAAAACTTAATTAACCAAAATTTATTTAAAAAGATTTATGATAAAGAGGATTATATTGTTGGATTAAAAATAATGACATTAATTTTATTTTTGTTATTATTGAAGAAGATGGTAGAATCGTAATTACACGAGAATGAGACGCTAGTATTGAAAGAATTTTTCACCAAATCATCATAAAAATTGCGATATGAAATTATTTTCGATTATTTGGCGCAAGCCGCAGTCACTCAACTGCGAAGGGCAGAAAGTAATATAATTAGCGGCATAATTAGCACAGTGGCGCAAGTCGCGCGCGGATCGATGTCGAAGGGCGAAATGCTATATAATTAGAATCATCTCATAGAACTATAATTTGTCGCTATATAACATTTATTAATCACGTTTAACTAAACTTCTGAATTAAATTAAAATGTATTAAATATTAAAAAAAATGTATTAATATATCAAGTATCAATATATTAATAGTAACTTTTGACAAAATATAACATTAGAATAAGCGTAACAAATAGAAAAGTGCTCAACAGCAGAATTCTAAAACTTTGTTTACTTTGAGAGAAATTTAAAAAAATTTAGATTGAGATCTTTCTCATCGTTAAAGTTATGTCACGTCGCGAATCGATCGCAATTTTTCAACAGTAAAAGAACTTTTTGCGAGAAGAGAAAGAAGGAGAGCGATTTAGGGGGGAGGGGGGAGGGGGAAGGAATCACATTTTACGTGATTTAAATCGGCTCGAGTTACGCGCGGCGCGCGATTTCGCAAGCTCGCGAGCGCGACAAAGTAGCGAAGGCGCGGAATTAGTCAGACGCGCTATTTTTCTTCGAGCCGAGCGTGCGAGCGCGGACGACAACTCATCCGGTTACGCGGTCGACGCTTATATGTTCGGTCATATTTCGCTGCTAAAATTACGGTGCATACCCCGTTACCCGCAACCTTGTTACATCTTTCCCCGATTTCACCCACGGATGATGTTTTCCGAGGGACTCCAGCCGCCGCGCGTTGCTTCTCGACATGTTTTTTCGTGCTTCTTCATGGAGAAGCATTTAACATTTTCTGAGAACGACATGGTTATGAGCTAATAAACAATTTTAACATATGGATAAGTTCTTTCTATTTTAAAGTTTATTTATAAGATTTACTCAAAATTGTTAAAAAAGAGAGAAAAGAATATCTTCAGGTCCGTCTAAGAGAATGCAGATTTCTTGTGCAAGAAATAACTAGCAGCTTTGAACATGACCTATCATAATTAATTGTGCCAAAAAAATTATTATCAAGATATTATTAATAAGAGTTTTATTATTATTTTTTTTATCCCTCGTACTTTTATTCGATGGAAAATTTACGATAAAAGCCAGATGTTTTTTATTTTTGAACAATTAGAGCTCCCCCCATGTGTTCAATAAAATATCCAATAATAATTTTGCGACTGTTTTACGATCGTCTCATTTATTTACAATTTTTTCAATGATTTCTTCAAAGTTGCTCTTTTCTCGTAACAGCTCTAAAGTTTTTTTAAAATTACGTTACTGACTCGATTTTCTCAAAATTTCCTCGCATTTATTCTATACGATCGCCGTATTTCTCCAATTGTTCCCGCCCGTCGTAAATACTCGCCGGAGAAATCTGATAGTCTTCGAAATTCTGGACGATCGCATCAGCATGGTGAACACCAGTATTTTTATCCGGTTGTTAAGCACGCGCAGAAACACGCGCTGGAGAAAAGGCAACGGTAATAACTTCTCGAAGGCGTCGCGCTCGCAGAAAATAGACGAGTCGTGATCGCGACTAGAATTCCAGATTTTCTCTGTCTCCCACTCTCTCTCTCTCTCTCTCTCTCTCTCTCTCTCTCTTTCTCTCTCTTTCTCTCTCTCTCTTTCTCTCTCTCTCTTTTTAACTGGATTCCAAACTGACTATTTTTAACAGTACCTTTTAAACATCCACTTAAGGATGTTTCACACGTACAATCTTAGACAAAAGTGCATGAAATTTGAAATACTTGAATATCTACGCCTAACGCATAGTAAATCTAGATGTAAGATACTCAAATGATAGTAGGAGTCTTATTTTTACTCCTAGAAAAGTATTTTTACTTTATAAATGTTTTTTCCGTATTATTTGCGATTTTTGTAATTTATGAGCCTAAACTTTTGGCAGTGAAAATACCCTGATTTCAACTTTATAACGTCAAATTATTAATAAAATTAATAATTAATAATTATTAATTAATTAATTATTAATTATCATTAATTATTAATTTATTTCTTTAAAACGGTGTAGTGAAGACAATTGAAACTTGGCAGATATTTTCATCTATTCGTATGCTAGATGTACAAAAAAATTCAAAATATTGGTAGCGCTCTTTCAACATTTTTTTAGCTGTTTTATCCGCCAAAATCGTCTTTTCCCATAAGAATACGTGTAAAATCAGTGAAAATTAAAATCGTTATATCTCAGCAACCGTTTAGTGGATTCGTTTCTACTTTTTTGTAGCACATCAGGAAGACTAAAAGAACATTCTCACAAATTTTTATCCACTTGGTAGCGCTTTGAAAATAGGTGCAATACATCCTTAAAATCACGGCTACTACATAGTCATCCCCTATCATCGCAGCGCCCGTCATCGGCTCGTAATGTCTACCGTTCCTTGTTTTCAAACAAACAACTTGATACTCCAGCTTGATAGAATTAGAATAGAAATGACGATTAAATAAAATATGTGACGTACTAAAGAATCAAATATAAAAAATGTTTATTAAATAAGAAAGATGAGTTCTAAATTAGCTAGTTGTTGATTGGGGGGATATAAAAAGCAATATTATGTAGTAATGTGATAACGTGTTGGTAAATCACTTTGCGTCAAATTAAATTATAATTTATTGGACAAATGTAACGGTGAAATAATCGCTATCTTAAATTTTACTTAAAAAAACTATTAAAAGTGTTCAGTATTTGCGATTTTTAATACTTATTGAAGAATTTGCTTGATTCATTAGTCGTACCGAGCCTTTGGCAGTTGGCTAATATTCTGTATTTATTTATAATTAATTTTGTTTTATTCTTGTTTTATCCGATTTCTGTTTTGCTTTTCATTATTTTTTACTTACGCACTTTAGATTATTATTGTAATTGCCCTAATTATAGTTGTTATGTCTTCGATTTATCTTTCAAATCGTCGTAGCCATTAAGAGCGGCTCTTTTAGTTCGTTAAGCGAGCTTAATATCGCGATCGCAAGGTGCGCCTATTAAAAGCTTTCGCATCGAGTGCATCGCGATTGGCCCGGTCGGTGTCGAGGGCGATCCTCTCATGATTAAAGGTGGCCGGAAGACTACGGCCGGCTTCGACGTTAAACGCCACCATTTACGGTCAGGCGATGTAGGAAGAAGGAAGAAAGAAAGAGAACGGGAGACAAAAAGAAAGAAAAAAAAAGAGGAGAGAGAGAGAGAGAGAGAGAGAGAGAGAGAGAGAGAGAGAGAGAGAGAGAGAGAGAGAGAGAGCAAGCGAGAGAGAATGAGAGAGCGAGAGAGGGCAACGGCAACAAATTTAGCAGATCCCAGATTCCAGGTTATTAAAAGTGGGCGGCGGTTTTAAGCTCGCTGGAGCGGAGACGAGAGAAAACGAAGGAGGTAACAGGTGTAGGGTATATTTATATGCCGTCATATGCTGCGTGCATGTGCATGCAGGCAGGCAGGCGTGCGTCATAATCATACAGCCGTATCTCCTTCGCGGCCTCTTCATCATCGTCGACGAGACCATGTCGTTTCTTCGCTGTCGCCACCGATTTTTCCACCTCGTCTTTCCACCTGCTCGGGATATGGTCCCGGTGCACTGAACCAGATCATCTTACTTGGAAAGAGAAACAAAGAGAGAAAGAGATGATTCTGGTTTCCATAACGTTGATCTATCTATCTATCTATCTATCTCCCTCTTTTTCCTCTTATCTATTTCGCGAATGTTTTGTTTTCTTGAAAATTTGTTATTTGTTTTAATATTCTTTGAATATCGATTGATAACAAGATTGACTTGAGCATTGTTGTACTCTTTTTTCTTTCATGTCTTTCTTGTTTAGTTTCTCACGGAGTATCTCTTTCGAATTTTTTAAAATACTCCGATAAAGAGTTCCGCGGAAATTCCGAACTTTCCTGCCGGCAAATATAGACTCGGGTCGCCGAATCCAAACGGAACGCGCGATGAAGAGATAAACGTGATGAACGGGGAGATTGATCGCGCCGGCCGGGCGAGATGTTGTGCCAACATTTTTTGCCCCCGCATTAACTAATATTAGGCGCCCGTGGGTATGGGCCGTCTCGTAATTGTGCGTCAATGCCAATTAATCGCGTGGCCGTGCAGAGAGGAAAAGAGATGCGTTCGACATTCTCGACGAGGGACTTGGCGCACGCCAAAGGATACTCCAGCGAGAGATAAATTCCATGTGCAGACCTGTCATCGACCCAAATACCTCTTCGGCAAACAAGATTCCGGAGATTATGTCATTTTAAAAAAGTAGATAAACTAACTGCCGAGCTACAGTTTAAATCGCCCGCAGAGCTGTTACTACAATTATCTCATGACTCATAAACGGGATACTAAATGAAGTAATATATCGAATATATATGATAAAATAATATATGAAAATAGAATATTAAAAATAGATGTGGCAATATTAATGTTAAAACAAATATATAGGTAAAATAAAATATGGAATACTGAGCTTGGAACAGAATAATGAAATAAAAAATAATGGAAGTAATAGATATAATATTAAAAATAATAAACATAATTTGGTAATACTATAATAAAATCTCGACAAAAATATCAACAAATAATTAAAATTCTTAAATTTATGAATGTATGTACATAATTATCTAATGATAATTAATACGCTCTATTATATATTCAAAGAAACATTGTCGATACTTATCCAAATACTTCTCACATAGGATATCAGCGACAGATTTAAGGAAGAGGAAGACGCGAGGAACAATCTCTTCCAGACCAAGAAGAAACTCGAGCAAGAAGTATCCGGCTTGAAGAAGGATATCGAGGATCTCGAATTGAACTTGCAGAAGTCCGAGCAGGATAAGGCGACAAAAGACCATCAAATCAGAAACCTAAACGACGAGATCGCCCACCAGGACGAGCTCATCAATAAGCTCAATAAGGAAAAGAAGAACCAGGGCGAGGTCAATCAGAAGACCGGCGAGGAGCTCCAGGCTGCTGAGGACAAAGTCAACCACCTTAACAAGGTCAAGCTTAAGCTCGAGCAGACCCTCGACGAGCTTGAGGACTCTCTCGAGCGTGAAAAGAAGTCACGGTAAGGAAATTCGATGCGTTTGATTATCTAAGATTATAAATTGACCATGCAAGATTAAGATTCAAGAATCGCAGTTACTCAATTATAATTTTTTCAAATTCTTTAATTTCTTCTTGAGTTCCTTTCTCGGGAAAGAAAACTAAAAATGGATTAAAAATAGATTAATTTAAGTAATACAATTTTTTCGAAATTAATTCTATATAATAGTATAAAATATTTTTATAGAAATAAGATGAAATACTGTAGCAAGGATACTTATGCAACATGTTAAAATCTAATTTGCAGTGCCGACGTAGAGAAGGCGAAGAGAAAGGTGGAGGGTGATCTGAAGCTCACACAGGAAGCCGTTGCCGATCTCGAGAGAAACAAGAAGGAACTCGAACAGACTATCCAACGCAAAGACAAGGAACTCTCGTCCCTAACTGCCAAACTTGAGGATGAGCAATCCTTAGTCGGTAAACTACAGAAACAGATTAAGGAGCTGCAGGCCCGCATCGAGGAACTCGAAGAAGAGGTTTGTATAACAAAATTAATCAAGAAAATGTGTTTTTCCCAAAGTTTTCAGCCTTAAAAAGGAAAAAAGTATAAAAATATTTTAATCTGTTAAATATTTTTAAATGGACGTTATTGAATAGTATATTGTGCACCAAGGGGCGAAAGTAGCGTTTTTCAGACGAGTGTGAAGTTTGCCGCCCGAGCCGAAGGCGAGGTCACGCGGCAAATCACACGAGTCTGTAAAAGCTTTCGCCCCGAGGTGCACACGATATTTTTCACAATATCTTTACGGAAAGTTCGATCTCCATGCCTAGAGAGAGGCGAGAGTGGCCATTTCACGCCATAGCGGGACGAAAGTAACCACTTTCCCTAGGGAGGAAAGTGGTTACTTTCGTCCCGCTAATGCCGTCCTGGCGTGAAATTGGCCACTTTCGCCCCTCTCTACAGGCATGGAAAGTCGAACTTTCCGTGGAGGTGTTGTGAAAATTATTTTTCAGAAATGATTAAGAGACGTTAATTAGAATTCGATTATAAAAGTATGTTTATTGCTGTCTTATGCTCTTTTATGTGATGATAAAATGACAATGTGCATTTCCTTCTTCAAGATCGAGGCGGAACGCGGCGGACGCGCCAAGGCCGAGAAGCAACGTAGCGATCTCGCCCGCGAGCTCGAGGAGCTCGGTGAACGTCTGGAGGAGGCCGGTGGTGCCACTTCCGCTCAGATCGAGCTGAACAAGAAGCGAGAGGCTGAACTCAGCAAACTCCGCAGGGACCTCGAGGAGGCCAACATCCAGCATGAGTCCTCGCTGGCCATTCTGCGCAAGAAGCACAACGATGCCGTGGCCGAGATGGGCGAACAAATCGACACTCTCAATAAACTTAAGGCTAGGTGAGTTTGCCAGGCTGATTTTCTTTTTTTCAATGAAAAAAATATGAATAAAAAAAAAGAATTATTTCTTTTTTTCAATTTAATATTGAAAAGAAGATAGGGGATAAAGCGGTTTGAAAATTTTGTTAAGAATTGCTATAAAAAGCTTGAACTCTTTGACAATTAGTAGAAAATTTAGCACACGGTCGCCGATGACAAATAATTTTACGACGCTATAAGATATATAGATTTGGCAAGATCGGCAATTAGATATAAATTTCGACTTTTCGGTATAAATGGACTATTAGACTTTTGTTGAAAAAAAAGAAAATGGAAAAGCAGTGGGATTATAATATAATATTTTAATAGAGCCGAAAAGGGCCGACACGACATCCACGCTGAGCTGAACAATTCGCGCGCTCTTGTGGATCAGATTTCCCGGGAGAAGGTACTTGAAAAAGAAAAAAAGGAATGACAGGAGTGTTTCTTTCATCTCGTGCATCTTTCAAACGTAGTTTCGAAACCCTGTGCGGTGTTAATACCCTTCGATAATCCTTTCGATTTGTAAAAACACATGTGATTACCAGAATGAAGTTACTCCCCGAAGAGATATAATATATTGTGCAATGTCGAATCTTATTGCTCGAATTGTTATGTTGTGTCACGAATGCTGGATTAAATATCCTTTTTTCCCTTCGTCAATTTTGCGTTGCAAGAGAAATTGATTAATATTCTCTACTTTTAAAAATATTTAATCAAATAAATATGCGTATTATTACATTTTAATTAATTTTTTTAATTCGAATTGAATTAATTGAATTTCAATTCCCTACTTTAATTCAATTTTGAGGTAAAGGTAAATTCCGTATAATGATTATTTATATTATTTCTTATTTATCTCTTTGCCAATTAAGTTACTTATATTCCACTGACTGCGTGAAAAAATAATCATGAATTGCGAGGTAGTTTAATCCGGCAATCCGGAATGCAAACCAAACAATATCATCATTCGTGCTATCGTCATTCATCTGTAATCCCTTCACTGTTTCCGTGTCCGATCAGGGTTGAGAAGGAGAAGGTGCAGTACTATAGCGAGTTGAACGACTTGCGCACGTCCTGCGACCACCTGAGCAACGAGAAGGTAAGGCCGGTCCACACGTTAACAATATCCGGATTAACGCGACTAACAGCTTCCGCTAGGTGCAGAGACGCAGAAACAGATCTATGGATTGTCTCCCCTCTCTCCCCAGGATTATTCACGAATTATTTATCTGACGTGTGAGTCGATAATCTCTGCTTGCTCAGCATCGCTTTCGTATGTGTGCGTTATTAAGTAACTGGAGCTCGTTTTTCGACGATTTCTTCTTAATGCGTTATTGTGATTGAGAAATCAAAATAAGAAGCTTTAGAGACACGGAAGTTACACTTCTTGTGTAGTCTAAAGCCATTTAGCCATTTCTGTTTATTTTATCTTGAATTATTTAATCCGTATAGTGTTGCGTCTCCCTTTAATCCACGTTGAAGTTGCGTATTTAAAGCATCCGGGCGCAACATATTTGAAGAGAATGATATTATTTTTACATTTTTAATTATAATTATCTAAAGGCGAGCTCACAGACTACAAAGATACCTGCATTGATCTAAAATCGATTGATATAATGTTCTTCGAAATTCAGGCTGCCCAAGAGAAAATCGTCAAGCAGCTGCAGCACCAGCTGAACGAGACCCAAGGCAAACTTGAAGAAGTAAACCGCACTTTGAACGACTTCGATGCCGCGAAGAAGAAATTGTCGATCGAGAACAGCGACTTGTTGCGCCAACTGGAAGAGGCTGAATCGCAGGTCAGCCAGCTGTCCAAGATCAAGATCTCGCTCACCACGCAATTGGAAGACACGAAGAGGCTCGCGGACGAGGAGTCGCGCGAGCGCGCCACTCTGCTCGGCAAGTTCCGCAATCTGGAGCACGATCTGGACAACATTCGCGAGCAAGTGGAGGAGGAGGCTGAGGGTAAGGCCGATCTTCAGCGTCAGCTCAGCAAGGCCAACGCCGAGGCGCAACTCTGGCGCACCAAGTACGAGTCCGAGGGTGTCGCCCGGGCTGAAGAGCTCGAGGAAGCAAAAAGGAAGCTGCAGGCCAGGTTGGCCGAGGCCGAGGAGACCATCGAGTCTCTCAACCAGAAGGTCATTGCTCTGGAGAAGACCAAACAGCGGCTGTCCACCGAGGTGGAGGACCTGCAAATCGAAGTGGATCGCGCAACCGCCATCGCCAACGCTGCCGAAAAGAAACAGAAGGCCTTCGACAAGATCATTGGCGAATGGAAGCTCAAAGTCGACGATCTCGCCGCCGAGTTGGACGCCAGTCAAAAGGAGTGCCGCAACTACAGCACCGAACTCTTCAGGCTCAGAGGTAAAAAGAAATAAATTAATTTTTTTAGTTTTACGTTTTATGCTTGTCGGGGTGTAAATTATTATACTATTATTAATTATATCATTGATTCATAATTATCGATGTTTGATTAATCAGGCGCGTACGAGGAAGGCCAGGAACAGCTGGAGGCAGTGCGTCGCGAGAACAAGAACCTTGCCGACGAGGTGAAGGATCTGTTGGACCAGATTGGCGAGGGTGGCCGCAACATTCACGAGATCGAGAAGGCCAGGAAGCGCCTGGAGGCTGAAAAGGACGAGCTTCAGGCAGCCCTGGAGGAGGCCGAAGCCGCTCTCGAGCAGGAGGAGAACAAGGTGCTGCGCAGCCAGCTCGAGCTCAGCCAAGTCAGACAGGAGATCGATCGCCGCATCCAAGAGAAGGAAGAGGAATTCGAAAACACCAGGAAGAACCACCAGCGTGCTCTTGACTCCATGCAAGCCTCCCTCGAAGCAGAGGCCAAGGTGAGCATGACGTATTTCTGAAAAATCTATTTCCTCATTCTCGAAATTGCTGGACAAAAATTGTATACAAACAATAAGTTACAATAATAAATTAGGACGCGTCTGATCTTGGGATATAATTTGATTTTCAGGGTAAAGCTGAGGCGCTGCGCATGAAGAAGAAGCTGGAAGCGGACATCAACGAGCTGGAGATCGCGCTGGACCACGCGAACAAAGCGAACGCCGAGGCACAGAAGAACATCAAACGATACCAGCAGCAGCTGAAGGACGTGCAGACCGCGCTCGAGGAGGAGCAGAGAGCGCGCGACGAGGCCCGGGAACTCCTCGGCATCTCAGAGCGCCGCGCTAACGCTCTGCAGAATGAGCTCGAGGAGAGCCGCACTCTCCTGGAACAGGCGGACCGCGGTCGTCGCCAGGCCGAGCAGGAACTCGCCGACTGCCACGAACAGCTGAACGAACTGAGCGCCCAGAACGCGTCCATTTCCGGCGCCAAGAGGAAACTTGAGGCCGAACTGCAGACCCTCCACGTGAGTATCGATCGCTTTTCGATAATTCAATAGAACGTTTCCCCAGAAGGAATAAGTGGGTTGTATATCTTCTTGCGTCTTTCTTTCTCTTAGTCCGACTTGGACGAGTTGTTGAACGAGGCGAAGAACTCAGAAGAGAAGGCGAAAAAGGCGATGGTAGACGCGGCCAGATTGGCCGACGAGCTGCGCGCCGAGCAGGATCACGCCCAGACCCAGGAGAAGCTGCGCAAGGCCCTGGAGACGCAGATCAAGGAACTGCAAGTGCGCTTGGACGAGGCCGAGGCAAACGCTCTCAAGGGCGGAAAGAAGGCTATTCAGAAGCTGGAGCAGCGCGTGCGCGAGCTGGAGAACGAGCTCGACGGCGAACAAAGGAGACACGCCGACGCCCAGAAGAACTTGCGCAAATCCGAGCGTCGTATCAAGGAGCTGAGCTTCCAGGTAGAATCCCGATTTATCATAAATCTATTCAAACGGAAGTCCAATCTACGTATATCACTTTTACTAAATAAATTAGTATTTTTATAATCGATAAAAGAGATGTTGGATCAACATTTATATAATCAAGATTCTGAACTTTTTATTTTTAAATTTAATTATTTCACTTTTGTTTAACTGATTTACTTCCAAAGAAGTTTTACTGAAATGATCACGTTTTCCGTTTTTTCGTTTTCCAGGCGGACGAGGACCGTAAGAACCACGAGCGCATGCAGGATCTGGTCGACAAGCTCCAGCAGAAGATCAAGACGTACAAGAGGCAGATCGAGGAGGCGGAGGAGATCGCCGCGCTGAATCTCGCCAAGTTCCGCAAGGCGCAGCAGGAACTCGAGGAAGCCGAGGAAAGGGCGGACCTCGCCGAGCAGGCGATCACCAAGTTCCGCACCAAGGGACGCGGCGGAAGTGCCGCGCGTGGACTCAGCCCAGCGGTAGGCTATTAAATCGTGTCAACCTTATCATCATCCTCGAACTTAATCTTTAATTCGCGACGTTGAAACTGCGATAACACATACTTGTTTCCATTTTCTAATTCTTTTATTGTTAAATATCTTTCACGAATATCTCTATTGACTTCATTTCATGAATGATATTATGGAAGAACTTAGGAAAACAATAATGTTGCGAATTAAAGATTAAGAATGGATCTTTCGAGAAGATTCCGATCGATCGTCTTCGACGTCTTCCGGTAATTTCTTGATAATATTGTACAATTAGATTCTTTATAAATTGATGATATATTGTTAATAATAAAATAAAGTAATCGATATATTTATCTATTCATCCAAAGAAATAGTCTTTAGTTAATTTTAAGTAAATTAATTTTTAAATTAGATTTTACTTCATTAATTTTACTTTATTTGACATTGTTTCAACTTTGAGATTAATTTAGCAACTTGTATCTTATAATATTGCTACTTCGAATACAAAATATATTACATCTTGCGAGATTAAGAATTGTTTCAGGTTTTCGTTAGCCATTACGATAAAGAAGTAAAGTAAATTCTTACTGAAAAGGTCATTAAAAATCGTTGATCGTGCTTGCATTAATGTTAAATCGATATCGCGCGGTCGAGAGGTGGGCTCGGTGAATATAAATCTCGAAGCTCGATCGGGGGGGTGGGATTAAGGGAGAGCGGTCCGGGGGACAGATCGAAGGTGATGGTGTCTAATTAGCCATCTGTGTCTTCCTGTGTGCAGCCGCAACAGAAACGTAAGGTGCCCTCCGCGATGGAGTAGACGCACACACACCGCGCTTGGTCCATGTAAGTCCGTGCACGTGGGGTGTCGTAAGCGCGTGGGATGTGACGATTACTTAGAAAAAGAACAAAATAGTTGACTGAATAGCTAGAGAAAGAGAGAAAGTGAGAAAAAGAAAGAAAAAAAAGAGAGAGAGTATGATTATTAGTTTTACGTGAGCAAGAGTTTACGAAACGCGAGAGGAACACGCGCGGTAGATGAGACTCCCTCTTGCATTCGTCACTGTCTCGTTTGCACCTGTGTGTCCGATAACACTCTCTCGGGTGGGACCCGAGCTTGTTCATCGTCATTAACTCTTTATAACTCGCACACCTCGTCCTTTTCTCCGTATATACAGTATTCACTTGCGAGTTAGTAGACGTCGTAGAAATTAGAGCAGTTAGAGGCCGAGCAAACAACAGTTGTGTGTGAAAAAGTAACGGAATTAGCCCCAATATGTAGGAAATAAATTTATGTAATTATTGAGTATTAATTAAATTAATAACTGTAAGAGCGGAAAATTAAATGGATAATCCAAGAGATAAATTTATCACGGAGATACTTATTGTTTTTTACATATATATAGATAAGTTTGAAATTTTAATATTTAATACAGCGTGAAATTATTATATAATATATTATACCAGTTTTAATCTCTAAACATAATATTTAGCATATTTACTTCCTAATTTTTAATTCAACATAAAAATTGGAAATTTTTTTTATGAATAATTTTCTTCGAAATTATCCGTAAAACATTCTATATTTCCCTTTTTTTTTTAATTTGTACCAAAGATGCTGATTATACGTATCGATTTTCTTAGATTCTCATAATTTATTTCTTATTTATCTACAAGTCCGGATAGTAAATGGTGTTTTTCTTTCTTGATTATTTAATTATGTTTCTTTTATTTACGATGACTCTCACTCCGGTTCGAGTGAAGCTTTTGTTAATTTAATTTTCCTTTAATCCAGAAAGGTTAACCAGTTTCCTCGCCGATATACGTCGCCATTGTTCACCTTTACATTTAACAACACGCGGACAGTTCGTCATCAACAAGAACTGCGATTTAATTCTGATAAAAAAAAAAAAAATTGTAACTAACACTCACCAATTACGAGTGTCTGAGATAAATCTCCCCTCTCTAAAAAAAAAATGCATATTCCGTGTTTATCACGCGGCAAAATAGAGGTGTCACGACCCTTGGTGCGTTATCGCGATCCCACTTGCGTATTTCGAGTGCAAGGGGTCAAAAAAATAAGAAATGTTGGATCATGATTAGAAACGAGCAAAAACACAGAGAACGTGTCACTCGCTCTCTCCCCTTCTTTTTTCATTGAACTGTGTTTTCCGAATCCGGAAAAAAATTGCACCTATTAAAATCCTCGCGCGAATATCTCCTCACATTTATTTAGTGACTCACGTGAGAGTTTATGCTTTGTATTTCTCTTCTTTCAGCCACACCGACCTGTGTTTAAACCCGAATTTGATGGTCCCCCATTCCCTCGCCGTTTTCCCGGCTTCGACTTGCAGCCCGATGGTGAACTGTAGGGCTTCTTCCGAGGTTCGCGTAAATAATTAGTAAAAAAACTATCAAAAAAAAAGTCAAAAATTCAACAGCAGAAAACATCCGGAGAATAAAGAAGATGGGTAAAAGAAGAAAGAGGAGAAAGAGGAGGAAGAGGAGAAGGAGGAGGAGAAGAAGGAAGAACATCGTCGCCCTCATCGAGTCCATCGTCGAACGAAGACACGAATATATACATATATATGCAACGAATTCGAGAGCTCATTCGGAGCTCTCAACGGCATCGTCATCTTGCAATCGAGCGATCGATCAATCAAACATCATCACACATCCGGATCATAGAATTCTCGTCATCTTTTTCGATAATAATTTTTTTTGTTCAATCGGCCAAAAAGGGAAAACGCGGAAAATCAGCGCTCGCTCGGGAAGGAGAGAATTAAGAGTGAGAGTGGGGAGGCAGGGGTGCGTTTTTTTACCACCTCAAGCTGACAGTCGAGGGAGAGAAAGGGAGAGAGAGAAAGGGAGGGAGAAACTGGGAGAGTGAGAGTGGGTGAGAGCGAGAGAGAAATCGAGCGAGAGGGCGCGCGAGCGGATGATGAGAGGGCGAGAGCCAGCGCGACAGATATATTAATATTTACACACACGCATACACAGAAGACGAAAAAGGGGGGGGAGAAAATAGAGCAACAAATACAGAAACGTTTATGCTCTCGCGAGTTGCACAATAACACGTACCGAGCAAAAATCGAGCTGGAAACAAGATCGTGGAAAGAGGAAAAGGATCACTCGCGAGTACATAGTAGAACGAGAGGAGCGAGTTGCGATGAACGTTTGATCAGAAGCGCGTATCATTACACGTGTCATCCGAATGATATCGTATCCTATAAACTTAATTGTAATTTATAAAGAGAGACGAAGTATGTATTTATTAAAGTAAATAAGCAATAAATAAAGATAAGAACTAAATCGCTCCGTTTGCCGATCACCCACCCGTGAGACTCGACGATTCCAGGACAAGGATTCGTTGGACGTCACGTGTCGATCTTCGCCGTGACCGCAAAGAAATTATTCATTTGTTTAATTGTCAGCTTAATTTATTGTACAATATAATCCGCGTATGAAACAGTGGAAAATAATTTTTTCCTAACGCGAGCGTGAAATGGGCCGCTTTTCGCGCTTGTTTTGAGTGAGCAAAATCCATTTCGCAATGATGAAGTAAGCGTTGAAACATGGAGCCATTTCTCAACTAGTGGAGAAATGAAATTGTAAAACAAGCGCGAAAAGCGGTCTGTTTCACGCTCTTGTTAAGAAAAATAGTATGAACAACACTCGTGGGAAGAGTGGTCGAGCCCAAATGAGTGTGATGGTCGCTTCGCTCGTGCGACCAACTTTACACTCATTCAGAATCGACCACTTTTTCCACTAGTTGTACAATATACTATTGGTTTTCATGCATCAAGTACTTCTTAATGCATCAAGTACTTCGCGTAACGGTAATCTCGCGAATTTTGTCTTTTCTTAAAATTATTTATCTACTTTATGTGTAGATACGATTTTAACTTAATTCGTAAAACTTATCTCAAATTACGCGCATAATTTAACGAGTTTCTACTTCAATCGTCTCATTTATATTTATTATTATTTGCCTGAGGTATTTACGTCGCAAATTGACACATAAAACTTTAGAAGTGCGTAGAAGCGCGTAGAAACTTAGTGCCTAGGAATTCAATATTTATAATAGAGCACGTTTCGCCGAAGGCTGAGTTCTACCTGTGATTCTTCTTAGCGTCAGTTCGCGTAAGCTGCCTGAATTGTCTTTTCATAAGCTCCCACTGCGTCCACTTGTCCGAGCTGATGCGGAATTCCTCGCACGTTTGCAGAAAAACAGGCACGCATAATTGCAAATAGTGATGGTCCACGGTGGGCAGCAGATGGTGTAATGAGTGTGAGCCGAAGTTGGTGAGCGCTAGGAAGATCGAGTCGTCGATCACCTCGCGGTCGCGCACGGCGTCCATCTCGAGCAGACCCCAGTCCAGGTCATTCCTTGGAGACATTGCAATAATTAGAGGAATTTACTAAATTCTTCAGAAATATTTTACCATTAAAAAATTAAAATTACGTTGAGATTAAAATTGGAATTAATATCGAGCAGCTTGACGTTAAAAACAAAGTCAATTAATTAAAATCAAAATAGCAAAAATTACATCGAGATTGAATTAACGTTAGATCTATGTTTGAAGTGAGTGTATAGTTAAATCAATATTCTTTTTTTTCCTTTAATTTACTTTTTTAATACTATTTTACTTTATTTAAATTATTTTTTAATAGAGAGAAAACAAAATAAATCTGATCGGTTAAAAAATGCTTTAATAATTTCAGGGAATAAAAGTTTCCTTAAAAAAAAATGTAAGATATATGTAACCTGTAGGTATCGCCGTCGTGGAAAATATTAGGGTGATGATGAGCCGCATTGAAGCCAATTAGACCGAACAGGGCGCTACTAATTAGCACCATTATCAGCCACAACTTGAGAGCCACGAGAATCTTAGGTGCCATAAAACACATCGATAGAGGTAGCACGAGCGGCACGAGATCGCGAAACTCAAAGACCCCGTACACCTTGAATACCGCGTAATATCTAAAAGTAATTAAATCTTTCATCACGACAAATAGAATTGGAAATCCATTTGGTAAATTTTTCGATGTCGACAAACGCAAAAATTAAGAATCTAAAGTGAAGATACAAGCTAAACCTTTCTCTTAATTTCAACGAAAGGGTGTTATTGTATATACGTTAAAATTAAGTTTTTATTACCGTTTCAAGCCTTCGGAAACGAACAGCAACATCCAGACGATGGGACTTATAATCCTGCTTATCATTCCCGCTAAGTAGGATTTATCCTTACGAGGCATCCACTGCAAAAATGGCTCTAACACGTAGATCTCGTAATCCCATATGGTGTTGGTATACATGTGGTGGCTCATCACGTGCGTGATGCGCCAATCTTTCGAGGATACCATGCTAAGATCGAAGTAATACATACGAAAATTGTCTCTCATGTGGAAGTAATTGTGTGCCGCGACGGTCGTCCATGTCAGAAAAACGCCTAGAATTATCGTCAAATAAACCAATCGATTAATACGTTTGCTCTTAATAATTGTAATTAATACAAAGATATATTAATTAATAAATATATTCGTAAATTTTATTTTTATTGTTCATTTTTATTATACTGTTAATTAACGAATATCTTTAATCTCAATTATTTATAATTTTAATTCTTTTTCTAATAAACTATTTATATCTTAATTATAAATAACTTCACGAATGCTCACTGGCTAGGACGGTAATGGCGTAAGAGTTGACGAGAGCGGCCGTGAGACTCAGCGCGAAAGTCGCGGTCGCCAAGGAATCGGTGATGAGATTCGTCGTCGTGGACGGTTTATGGAAATTGACGTTTTTCAAAGCCTCGGCCGCCCGTCTCTTGAATGTGCGATAGAAGCCGTCCGGGAGAAAGGTCAGGGACACCGATCGCGGACACGTAGCTTCACGGACGTAGAATTTTGGCAGCAGTCGTTCGGCTTTGTCAGTGATGTGGTGACTCTAAGTGATAGAATTGACTGTTATAAAATTTAAAGTTGCCTTCGAATTTACCTACACGAAAATCGTAGCGACAGACCCGAAAATTTTCAAGGCAACCGTGAAAAGAAATAGGGTGATATATGTAAATAGTAAAGACACACATACTTCGTTATTTAATACATATACATACATATAAATATAAAGTTATGGAAAAATATTCATAAAAATGCTCAAAAAAAATGATAATAATAATCTATATATAAAAGTACGGATTAAAAGATGATTGATGCTTCCAAGCAAAAAATTGACTGATAATAAATTGTTAATTCTAACTTTGATTTAATAAGTACCTCGAATAATTCGGTGATATCGGTCCCTTTCGTGAGCCGAATCCATTCAGCTCCACCTGGATGCGATTTCGCGAAGGTTTCCAAATCGTAAAGCTTATTTCCGATTCTCCACAATCCTTCTGCACCGTCGATTTTTCTCCTAGCCTCGAGAAAACCCGCCGCGGTTGCTGCCGTCATATCTCTCGCTGGCAGGTAAGCTAAGCCGGGTACCGTGCTAGTTTTCGACATGTTAAAAGTTTTCTTGACCTCGTCTAAATAAATAAGACACAAAAGTTTGGTACTTCTGGTGAATGATGGATTTATCACAATTAACTTTTACACGTAGGTAATAATAACACGTAGGTAATAACGTTGATTTACATCTATAATTTATATCTAATCTTCTATAAACTTTTTCTTCAATTTTTTTATAATATTTCAATCTTTACTCTTTTTAAATTTTGGTTTTAATCAAAATCTTCAATTTCAATTTCGTGATTTTGTGGAGAAGAAACGGCCAATTACCAGTTATCGAGCGTTAGTAAGGTGTTAAAAAGAAAATTTTATAATTTAAGCAATTTGTTTATTCTAAAGTAAGCTAACCTTTCGACCATACTTACAATTTGTCATCTTCAGATTATTTAAGAACAATACAAAAATAATAAAAATAATAATAAAATATTGAAGATTACATTGAAAGCGTTAAAATAAGTATATATTAAGTTAAGATCGAAGTCAAACACGGTAAGTCAAAAAGTCAATGATTAAAATTAAAACTTAAATTTAAGTCGAAGGTTAAAAATTAAAACCTAATCGAAAATTTTTTTTGGAGAAGTCTAATAGTGAAATGGTAGAAATCCTTCGCAGATAATTCGAGCAGCCGCCATCCTCGTTAGAGAGCACCAATGTAAGTCCAAATGTAAAATGTCCTGTGTTTAGCAAATGATAATGTAAATTTCTAACCAGACTTAGTGGTAACTATAAAGAGAGAAACTCTATGAATAGAATTCAAAAAGCATATAGAAGAGAAGTGGACAACTTTCATAAGTGGTCATTCGACGAAGTTTGATATTATAATTTCGTATTTTTGAATACGTGATGTTTATCAGTGCGAAGATGTACGGCTTCTGAGAGGGAGATGTTTGTTCGGCGACTGG